CACCATCTCAAATACCACCCTCCCACCCCCATGAAGTCCCATGGGACATGGCCCCTCCCTCTGAGCTGCCACAATGATGTAAACATATGCTGAGGTCCTCTGGTGGGCCCTGTGGGATGACTTTCTCCACGTGATCTCCATTGGCACTCAGGATAGCACTACCGTTACCCCATTTAAAAAAAAAAAAAACTTTTTCAGTGTGATTTGTTTGTTGCAATAAAATATACATAATATGGCATTTACCGTTTTAACCATTTTTGAGTACACAGTTCAGTGGCATTGTTGTGCGACCATCACCGCCATCCATCTCCAGAACTTTTCCGCCTTCTAAAACTGAAATTCCATACCCATTAAACACTAACTCCCCATTCCCCTCCAGCCTCTGGCAGCCCCCATCCTGCTATTCCTGTGAATTTGACCACTCTAGGCGTCTGATGCACGTGGCACCATCATAGACCTGGAATCCTATGGTGTTTGTCCTTCTGTGTCGGGCTTTTCACTCAGCATAATGGTTTCAAGCTTCATCCATTCATTCCTTGTTAAGACTGAATAATTTTCCATGTTACCCCATTTAGAGGAAGGGACACTGTGGCCACACAGCTGGGAGCGCCAAGACTCACACCCTTAATGGTCTGATTCCAGCACCCTCCTCCGACCACTTGGCAACCCAGCCGCCTCTCACAGGGTCACACCGACTCCCTGGCACCTCCCCCTGCCTCTTGCCCCTGTCCCCTTCTCTGCACACCAAGGGATGTTCTTGTTCTGAGTGGCCTTATACTCATGTTTGGATGTGACCTTTGGACCATGGCAGCACTTGGTGGAGTCCAGAAGCCTTTGTGGAAGTGACAGGCTTAGGGACTGGGCTGGGGGTCAAGGTGGGTGGGGCCTGGCTGTGCATCCCCCTGGGTCAGACTCTTCCAGACTTGACCTCTGCTCAGTCAAAGCTGCCCTGATGATCAGGACTGCTGCATAAAGTTGTGCAGGTTACAACCTGCACAGCTCTTCACAGTCTGCCAATGACCCCGATGACTCTAAAGTCAAATCCAGGAGGCCTCCAGGCTCCCCTCTGAGAAGGGACAAGAAAGAACACAACTGAGAGGCAGCCCAGGACAAATGAGATGTCTTCCTCCAGAAAGCAGATGAGTGGTTGCCTGGGGGAATGGAGGAAGGGGAGTAATAGTTTAATAGGTGCGGGTTTCCTTTCGGGCTGATGAAAATGTTCTGGAACTAGATAATGGTGGTGGTTGCACAACTTTGTGAAAGTACTAAAACCACTGAATTGTTCACTGAAAAATAGTTAAAATGTCAACTTTCATGTTATATGTATTTTATCATGATAAAAAAAAAGGGGGGGAGGGATCTCACCCTGGTTGCCACACTCTCCAGCTTCAGCACCACCCAAGGGCCCTTAGGTATTCCAGGACAGAGTTCAACAACCAAGGGTCTGGGCCCTCTAACTACCACCCCTCTCTTTACCCTGCCTATTCTTGGTATCACACTGAGCTATCCAACTGAGGACGTTTCCCTGCAGAACGCCTTCCAGATGCATCTGCATTTGGATTGGGCTCAGTGTCTTACTCAAATAAATGCATTACTAATAGTTGAATTTCTGGTGGCAGTGGTCCATCTGCAGGGAAGATATTCAGAGACATGGGGTGGTTTCTGGAATCCCTAAAACCCAGCTCATAAAGTAGCTTGTGCTGGGCCTTTCCCACAGGGTGGGTGGGAAGCAGCAGATAGAGAGAGGCTGGTGATCCTGTCCCAGAACTGACTTCATGGTCCCAACATTCCCATGGAACCCACCTCATTACTAGGCCAGAGTGCCTAACTATCTTGTAGCTCAGGCTGGGGGACAAAAATCCGGGCACTTCAGCTGCAGCCCTGAGAGAAGAAGGTATTGGAGAATCAGAGTCCTGGGTTTGATTTACTTCCAAGTTGTGTGACCTTGGGCAAGTTGCTTAACCTCTCTGTGCCTTAGTTTTCTTACCTGTAAAATGAGGATTAAAATAGTTTTGACCTTATAAGGTTTTTTAAAAAAATTCAAATGAAAGTCACATGACATAAAATTAACCATTTTGATGTGTGTAAGTCAGTGGTATTTAGTACCTTCACAATGTTGTGCATCTCTAATGAGTTCCAAAACGTTTTCACAACGATAGGGGTTGTTTCGAGGATTAAATACGTTAATGTTTGTAAAGCTTTAGAATGTGCCCGTTAATGCCACAGAAGTGCTCCATAAGTGGTAGGAATAATTAGTAGTAGAGCAGTGCTAATAATAGGTAACACGTGGTAGGTGCCGGTGGTATTAATTCGCTTCCCTTGGGTGGAGGAGGAGAAACTGAATTTCTCACTCTCCATTTTCCACTTTGGGCTCTCTGTACCCAACAGCCTGTCACACTCTTTCCCCCACGCAGAGGCATGTCCTCCCTCAAGGTGGGGGACCAGAGGAGGCTTTTCGTGCTGGTGAGTAACAGTTAGCTAACTGTTAACGTTCACTGTGCATCAGGCAGAGCAGGCGAGCTTCCCAGATGAGCCTGGTGTCCGGCAAAACATCCCTGGACCCCACGTCCCCCAATTCACCTTTGCTGTTACTCCAGGAGCCACGGGCTGTCGTTTGCTGCCATCTCGTGGCAGGTATGGGATCTTTCTGTCCCACTTCCATCCTTGATACCCTTAATCAAGAGCACACTAAGTACCCACTGTCCGCGGAGTTCCCAGTGAGAACGAGCGGACATGCAGGCAGATGAATAAGGCAGCCTCATTTCCTACCCTCGAGGGCCTCACGGTCTCATGGTAGTGACTGTCAGAAACCCACAAATGAGTAAACTGAATGAATAAACACAGTAATTAGAGTGTGATTTAGGCAAGGAAGGAAACACGGGAGCTGGTTATCGCAGGGTGTGATGATATATTTGATATACAGCCTATCTGAGGGTTATCCGTCTCCCCGCCCACTCCCTGCCCACACCTGTGAGCCGGTGTGTCTGTCTGATTCCCCCATGTGAATGGGTGAATTCCCCCAGTGCTGGCACACAGTAGGTGCTCAGTAAATGTTGAATGAATGAACACACAAATGACAACGCTGCCTAGAGCCAGCTTCTTGGCTCTTGCAGGACAAACAGATGGGGAATGGGAAGGAAGGACTTACCGGAGGGAGGCTAGTCCCCCCGGGGATCCTGGGAAGGCTGGAAGGGGTGGGGTGCGAGCCCAAATGAGGATGACGCGTAAATGTCACCTTGCCAGGGAGGCCTCGGTCCGCCCTCACTCCACTCTCTTCTTGAACCCCTTCCCTGCTTGTTTCTCTCCCCTTGGCCTCTAGCACCATTCCACATACTATATATTTGCCTTATTTATTTAATGTTCGTCTCCCTCACCGGGATGTAAGCTCCATGAAGGACAGGATTTTTGTCTGTTGTGTTCACTGGTGACTCCCCAGCGCCTGGAAGGGCCTGACGTTTAGTAGGAGCTCTGTAAACGGTGTGCAAAGTGAATGAGTGCTGCAAAGGCGAGGCTTGGGGCAGGGACTCGACGGACTCCAGGGCGTGGCAGGTGGAGGAGCGGGGCTCAAGCCCAGGTGCAGTGAGATATGGGAGAGGCTGATCTGAGCTAGCGAAGGACCAAGTGTAAACAGTACTGGAAGGAACGGGGCCGGTCGGGGCGCGGGGTACGCCTGGGGGCAGGGCTAGATTGGGGAGGAGCCTTGGGGCGGGGTCTACCTGGGGCCGGGCCATTCACTGGGCTGGGTGCCTTAGGGGCGGGGCCAGTATGGGGGAGGAGCCTACCTGAGGCGTGGCCAATCTGGAGGAAGGGCTGGACTGAGGGTGTGGTCAAGCGAGGGACGTGTAAAGTGAGGGGAGGGGCTAAGGCTGGGGCGGAGTCAGGCTGGGGCGGGACCAGTCAGGGGACAGGGTAAATCTGGGTGGGGCCACGGCAAGCGGCGTGGGCGGGGCCAGTTCGGGGGCGGGACCCAGACAGGATCTCCGCTGTCCCGGGTGCTGGAGCGTTCCGGGCCCGCAGGTCTCCTTCTCGCCCCTCGGGCCCCTCCCGGGCTGGCCCGGCCGCAGAGTGCACAGGGCCAGACTTCCCTGGTTGTCCAGCCGCAGTCGGGCCCGCCCCTAGGCGCTGCGCTCCGGGTCAGGCAAGCGCAGGGGTGCCGCTAGCGAGCTCGGCTCCCCGCCGGGCGGGCGCCCAGGACACTGCCCTAGGGCTGTGTCCCAGGAGGCTCTGAGGGTGAAGGTGAATGGGGCTGCCGGGGGTCTGTGCGTGGATGCATGCCACAGTGTATGTACATTGTGTGTGCATGTGCTCATGGGTGTGTGCGGGTGTGTGAACGTCTGTGTGCACCAGGGGAATTGTGTGTGTGCCTGGAGTTGGACAGGTGTGTGCTCCAGGGAGCTGGGTGTGTGTGCAAAGTTTGTGCTTGTGCAAGGGCGGTCCCATGTGGGAGGGGAGTCGTGACAGAGACAGTGCATGTGAAATTTGGTGAAGGCTGTGTGTGTTTGTTAGGGTGTCTTGGAGGAGGATAGGAGGGAAGGTGCAAAGATACTTGGGGGGGACCGTAGGTCAGGACTCTGTGGCAAGCAGTGGCTGCATGCATGAAGAGAATCGTGGGAGTGTAAGAATTTCAAATGCGTGTGTGTTTTCATGTGAGTGGCAGTGAGGGGTGCTTCTGAGGGTCCTCAGTGTGAAGGGGTCCGGGCAAAGGAAAGTTTGGGGGTGCTGACTGCTTTTGGAAGTGTGAGTGTGGTCTGGGGCAGTGGGTAATGGATAAGACAGGTGTTTGGGGTCTAGCCTGGAGTAATTTGGTAATCATATCAGCCTCCTCACTTTGAGGGCTGGGGAGATGTGTGGGTGGGGCCAGAGGGAGCTGGCCTGCCCTTGTACCCGGTGGGCAGTTTCTCTGCTTCACGTGGAGGGGGCTGCTGACTCACCTGTCAACCCTCACCCCAGGCCCTGTGCTCACCCCTGCCCCCCACCTCTGCTGGCGCTCCGGCGTGAACATGGTGCACAAGTACCAGTCTCCTGTTCGCATCTACAAATATCCATTTGAGCTGGTCATGGCGGTGAGTGACCCCTGATTCTTGGGCCCCTCGTGCGATGTTAAAGGGACTCAAGAGACCAGCTATGGTGGGGAGGAAAGGGGTAGACCCTCAGACCCCCAGATCAGAAGAAATTATTGAGCAACTCAGCTGACCTGGTGGGTCAGACTTCTAACCAGTGACCTCTCCGTCCAGCCATCCCTCCCACCTTTCACTAGAACTTCTGGAACTCCTATCAAGTTACCAAAACACCAGGCCTTTCTTCTCCTGTTGAAGCTTACCTGTTCTCTCAGCTCAGACCCTCCTGACAGAAAACAAGGACGTCAGGGGCCACTGCTGTCATTTTCTGTAATGATAATAATAACAATGTTAAATATAAGGATGATAATGATGACGATGATAGCTGGGCTAGATCCATGCAGAGGGGAATGGGGGCAAGTGGGCAGGAAGGGTCTGGCTGCGATGGTTTTTAGGGTAGACTCAGAGTAGCCAAGCAACATACTCAGTGTCAAGCAGCAAGTCAGCTGGGGGCCTAGAACTGGCTCTCAGGTTCTTGGCCTCCTGGATCAGTGGTCTTTGCACCGTGGGGTGGATGCTGGAGACAGGCAGGCATGCTGTTCCTTCTTGGCTCCATCACTCTGCCTTGCGGAGATTCACTTCCTGGCTTGCTAAAATAGGGGCTGTGCTGTGGGGTTGTAGCGAGGAGTACGTGAGATAATTCACAGTGCCCTGGCTGTATGCCTGGGTGCTTAACCCCAGCATTCTATCCAAGGACTTTCATATCGGTTGGCGTCTCTCTCTCTCTCTCTCTCTCTGTGTCCTGTCTATTTTATTCCATGAATCTACACATATATGTGTTTATGGTTGCATAAAGGATTAAAAAGCATCACTAAAGTCATCCATACATGTTGTGGGGTTACATGTAGGGGGTTCCAGGACAGCAGAGGCAGGGGCAGTCCTGGGGTCATATCCAGGTCCTATGATTGACCAGCTAGGTGACCTTGGGGCAAGTTGCTTCACCTCTGTGAACCTACACTCCCCATCTCTAAAATGGGATCACCTGGCTTCCAAATCCTGCCCTCATGCTGTGGGTTAAGTGAGTCAATATGAGTATATGTAAAGCTCTCTCTGCCGGGCATGACGCAGATCAAATGCTCAGTGAGGTATAGCTGTTATTGTTATTGCTGTTGCCTGTGGCTCTGTGACTTTCCTTCTTTGTGATGGGGGTGGGACACCAGGGAGCGATGAAGAGACCCATGTGCATGGGGTCAGAAGTGCTGGTCCCTGCTGCTGTTCTGCTGTGCTCCAGCTGTGTGTCTTTAGGAAGTCACTGAACCTCTCTGAGCCTCAGTTTCTTTGTTTGTGAAATGGCCATGGTTATATGCACCTCATAAGGTTGTCTTGAGGATTAAAAATGATTGCGTTTGTTTATGTGTATGTGTGTGTTGTCCAGCACAGAGCCTAGTCCACACCAAGCAGGCAGTAAATGGTAGACAGATATAAATAATCATCTTCTGTCTAAGGCACCAGGCAGCTTATTTTAAGACCCAAGACCTCATTCATTCATTCAGTAGAAAAGAAAGACTATCCTCACCCTTTTGGGACAGGCCAGCGACTCGTGGTTCTCTGCCATTAAGCCCAGACACGTAACTATAGAATGGAAAACCAACTATTGCATGGACTTAATAAATGTAAATTTAATTTAGCATGTTTAAAGTTCTCAAAAACATTTACAATCATTGCATTTTAAAATAAAACGTGCCTGCTAATACAGCACTTAAGACTGGATTAATCGGATGAGTAACATGCTCGCACTGCCTTTATTGATATATACTAAACACATTTTCTAAGCTTCCTGTTCCATAAACGAAGGCATTTACTCTCTTTGCTGTTAACAGCCTCTGGGTGCTGATCACAGATGCTTGTGGGCAGAGTAGAAAAAAAGGTTTTCAAATATTTATTATCTCTACCTGCATTAATTTAAGTCATTTGTATTTTTCAAAGGGACTGCCACAATCATGTGGCTTTATTTTCCATACAGTCCTTGTCTGTGAAATAGCCCCAAGCCACAGCGACACTGCCAACAAAGCCACTTTGCCGACTGTTTACAAAACATTATTGTCCCCAAAATAGCTGAATAACTCAACATAAATTGCCTGCTGTGTAGGCACAAAAGGGTTTTTTTGCTAAACATGCTAAATGTCCATCTTTGTTTCTCGGCTAAACACTTGTCCTCAGTTTGGGTCAGATGCCGGGGAAGTTTCGGATGAAGTCAGCTATTTTCACTGCATCCGACTGACCAGAGGAGCTGGCCTTTTGGTTTTTCTGTTTAACAAAACTGACTTGAGAATCACAATGTCCCTTGCTTTTTCAAAAGCCCACCAGCAATGATATAAACAACTGAAATCAGGCATGTGGAATTTGTTATCTAAAATAGCACTTTGAGGCAACCTTTCCAGACCTTGCTTTTAAAATTTTCTTTTCTTTTGGAGCCTGGTTGGTATAGGGATCCAAATCCTTGACCTTGATAACTGAGTGAGCTAACCGGTCAGCCCAATCTTGGTGTTATAATACCACGCTCAAACCAACTGAGCTAACTGGCCAGCCTAAAAACGTTTTAAAATTAATATTTCTCTTTCGCTTCAAAATTTATCTAGTCAAATGAATGGGCATCTCTCTTCAAATCCTTTAGCATAAATTCTTCTTTCAAAGGTTGGGATTCTGGGAGGGGGTGATTGCTTTCTTTTTTCTTGATAGTTCTGTATCAATGGATCTGAAACAATGAGTTTGTATTATCTCGGTAAACAGAGAAAACAATTAAAACAATGGGGGGGAAGAAGGGGAGGCAGGATGGGTGCTGCAAGTATTCAAGGTTGAGAGGGTCTTTGGTCCTTTAGAATGCTGGGGTCCCAGAATGGAAGCATGTCTTTGTGGAGATCCCTGTGTGGAGGACACAAGGCCATGTCTTGGACTGTGGACTTAGATCACTTGAGGCCTGAATACCACACTCTGGTCAGCCCATTGTGTGTGTTGATTCTAGATCATCTGTCTCTTTTCCCAGATGGGTGGTGGCTGAGAGCCAGGCCCACCAGTCTGGGTCCCTGCTCCAGCCCTGGGCACATTTCCTAATGCTCTGAGCCTTAGTTTCTCACCTGGAAAATGGAGATAATGAAGGCACCTGCTCCTCAGAGAGGTGGTGCGAGGATTAAATCAAGGAATGTGGTGTGGGTGTTCTGCACATTGTTTAATGCTCATGAAACATTGCTTTGGTTTGTCTTTATTTAGTGTTTTAACAGCTTTATCAAGATGTAACTCACGTATCAAACACTTGACCCATTTAAAGGATACAAGTCAATTATAGAGTCACCACAGTCAATTTTCTTTTTTTTTTTTTTAAAGATGACTGGTAGGGAGATCTTAACCCTTGACTTGGTGTTGTCAGCACCACTCTGTCTCACGTGAGCTAACCAGCCATCCCTATATAGGGATCCGAACCTGTGGCCTTGCTGTTATCAGCACCGCACTCTCCCAAGTGAGCCACGGGCCGGCCCTCACAGTCAGTTTTAGAACCCCAATTTTCATCACCCCCAAAGAACCCCCATACCCCACTGTTTTAGTCTGTTTTGTGTTGCTATAACAGAATACCTGAGACTGGGTAGTTTATAAAGAAGAGAGGTTTATTTGGCTTACGATTCTGGGACAGCTGCATCTGGCATGGGCTTCAGGCTGCTTCTATTCATGGTGGAAAAGTGGCAGCAGCCGGCAGGTACAAGCAGATCACATGTCGAGAGGAAGCAAGAGAGAGAGAGAGAGAAGGTGCCAGGGTCTTTTTAAGCAACAGTTTCCAACACTGCCACATTGGAGATCAAATTTCCACATGAGTTTTGGAGGGGACAACACATCCAAACTCCATCACCGACCGTGTAGCCATCAGCCCCTAATCTCACCTCCTTCTCCTTACCTGCCCCCCTCATCCACCCCGGGAAACCACTAATTTACTTTTTGTCTCTATAGATTTGCCTATTCTGGACATTTCATTTAAATGGAATCATATAATACATGGCCTTTTGTATCTGGTTTCTCTTATTATAATTTTTTTTTTTTTTTTTAAAGATGACTGGTAAGGGGATCTTAACCCTTGACTTGGTGTTGTCAGCACCACGCTCAACCAGTGAGCTAACCGGCCATCCCTATATGGGATCCGAACCCGGGGCCTTGGTGTTATCAGCACCCCACTCTCCCGAGTGAGCCACGGGCTGGCCCTTATTATAATTTTTTTAACCAGTTTATTGAGATATGATTCATATATAAAAAGCCGTGGATCTTTAACATATACATTTCGATGAGTCTGGGCATAAATATACACCCATGAGTATAATATTTTCAAGATCTGTCCACACTGTAGCATGTATAGGTACCTCATTCTTTTTTATGGCCAAATGATATTTCATTGCACGAATATACCACAGTTTGTTTACCTGTTCATCTGTTGATGGGCATTTAAGCTGTTTTCATTTGGGTTATTATGAATAATGCTGCTATAAACATTTATGTACAATTTTTTGTGTGGACGTATTCCTTCCAGAGAAATCTCTGCTGTGAATGGTGGTGGTTATACAAAGGGTTGAAGCAGATTCTATTTTAAATTAGACTTAACAAACTCTTAGACAGTACTTACTAGGTCCCAGGCACTGTTCTAAGTTCATTCAAATACTAACTCATGTACTCCTCATAACCACCCCATGAGATAAGTTCTGTGGGCAGTCCCATTGTACAGATGAGGAGACTGAGGCACAGAAAGGACAAGTGGATTGCCCAGGGCCACAAAGCAAACATGCAGCAGGTGGGGACTTAAATCCAGGCAGTTTGGCTCCTGAATTTATATTCCTGTCCATGAGCTCTGCTGTTTCTCAGAGCTGGATTGAGCACCTGAAATTACTGGGGTGAGCATCTGGGTTGAGTAAGTGGTACCATGGGGGACAGTTACCAGCAGGATTGTTTCCAGGATGCCTGTCCAGGACCCT